TTTACACAATTGATGTGTGTATGGATTGCGATAACACTTGTATGAGCCCCTAATAAAATGTTTAAAAAAATAAAATAAATAAAATAAAAGAGACCTCACACTTCCTGTCTGCTCCTGCTGTGCTGCAGCCAACAGTGAGCTGCGCAGCGGCGCCTGCCGCTACGTTCCAGTGTCCAGGGTTACGGTAGCTTGGGGGGGGCCTTATTTTGGGGGATGTCTTGTTTTCAGGGAGATGCCTTTTATTTCAGCGAGAGGCAAAACTTTAAGTAGGTCTTATTTTCGGGGGATGTCTTACTTTCGGGGAAACAGCGTATTTCATCCCAAATTAGTGTTTAGTTCAAACTGTAAATCAACTGAGTCAATCCTGTCCCTCAAATCAAGAAATTGACAGTTCCTTCTCAAGCAGGTGTGTCCCAAGCTGTGCCATGCAGCCACTACCCCCTGACAAACAGTTGCTGCCCCATTTTACATGATTGCTACCATAAACACTTTCTACCTGTGTCCTGCAAACATGGACCATTTCATTTTCTTGAGTTGCAATGTGAAATCATTTTCAAGGACGAGCTGGAGAGCAGTAATACTGAGCTCTGCATAGCAATGCTATTACTGTTTGCTAAAGGTATTAGGAAGCTTCTAGTGAGATCCACTTGCCTGGACCAAGGGGATGCAGCTTCATTCTCCAGCTCTCTTCTAGCCTGGGTCAAACACAGAGTCACAAAGACACATTCTTTGGCTAGCAGAAGTAAATGCGTGACCATCAACAGAATGTGCTGTTCTATTGTTTTTTTAAAATTCATAATTAATATGTGTTCATTTTTGTATTTAAATTTTGAAAGTGAAATAAATGTTTTCCTAAGTGGTTTCTTTCCCAAATGTGTCCCTGTTGTTCAGCGACAGGGCGTTGGTTTCCACAAGTACCCCATGGTCAACAGAACAAAATATCTCCCAGCCCTGCACCACGCTCACAAGCATTGTCCAGGTCGGACACTGTGATTGCAGCCACTGTCAGTCCATCTCATCGAGGGTCTTCCTCTTTCTCACTGGCCTTCCGCTTTGACTAAATGTGATGTCTTCCTCCAGGATTGTTCCCTCGGAAAATATGTCCCAATTACACGAGATGAAGTGCCATCCTTATTTCTAAAGAGCATTCTGGCTGTACTTTCTCCAAGAGAGACCTGTTTATCCTCTGGTATTACCCATGGTATTAACATTTTTAGGTACCCACAAAATTCAAATGCATCATCTTTTATCAGTCTTCCTAATGTATGGTTGAGCTTCGGCATCCAAATGTGATAACGGAATATATACCATAGCTTGAGTCAGGGACACCTTACTCTTCCATGTGACATTCTTGCTTTTCAGTACTTTGAAGATACCTCTTGGACACAGATTAGCCCGGAGCAATATGTCATTTGGTTTCCTGCTTGCTTCTTCTGTGAACATTTGTTGTAGACCCAAGGAAAATGAAATTTCAACCTTTTCTTCATTTATCATGAGTATTAACCCTCTCTAAACAATGAAATAAATGAAAGAAATGGCTCCAAGAATGTCACTCTAGAGAGCAGTAAAACTAATTAGATTTTATGTTCTAAAGTTACATTTCTCTAATAGATAAAAAGCAAAAAATACTTTAAAACATTTTTTTAATGTGTTGGAGTCCCTGTGTGGTGTAATCTTCTAACCTGAAAATTGAACACTCAAGGCACCCAGAGGTACCTCAGAAGAAGGCACAGCAATCTACTTCTTAAAAATCAGCCACTGAAAACTTTGTACAGCAACGTTCTACTCAGACACACCCGGGGTGACCTTGAATCAGTAACTGGGTTGGGTTTTAACTAACTATCTGCCTGGTTGCTTCTCTCTCTCTCATTCATTCACCTTTTTAGTCTTCATATCTTTATTACATTTACACATATTTTATAATTAAATTTTTCATAACAATAAATGTAATGTAGTAACATCCTCCAAATCTACAAATCTATTGGCTGTATGCTCCTATAGAGAGGAGTATATCAGAGGCTGTTAAATTTTTTTAAAAAATAATGAACATGAATATTTTCAAGACTTAAGTGAAGATTTAACAATTTTGGAGAGGATTTATTCAAACAAGCATCAGGACATCCTCTTAAAATCATCTCAAATTAAAAGGACTATCAGTACTTATCCAGATGGGTTTTTTTAAGTGTCAACTTTTGACATCACATCTGGTTTTATTATGATTGTCACTTTGACTGGGAAACCATTTTTACTGGAGCCTCAGATGGTCATTGACTCTTGGGACCAGCCCTGTGGTCAGGAGATGCAGTCACTTTATAAAACCTTATGTTTACAATATGAATACCTCCTTGTTTGCATGTTCCTAATGGAAACAGAGAAATAGATGAAAAGTTATAATGTCACACTCGCTGTTTCTGGTGACACAGACACAAAAATAGTTAGTTTCAAGAATCAGATGGGAAATGCAACAAATGAAAGAACTGGTTAAATTAAATTGACATTTAATGTTTTAACATTTTATTGGCATGTAGTTTGTGTATCATTCAATTCACTGGTTCAAATATGTGCAGTCATCATCACAGTCATTTTTAGAACATTTTCTTCATTCTTATACCCATTATTATTATTAGCTCCCCCATTTCCCTCCAACCTCTGCTTTCATACCATAAGGAATTATAACCTAGTTACCAATTTTCAATACATGTATGCCAACAAAAACAAAATTCTATGGTGAGGGATTTGGAAATGAAAGTCTTGTTTTCAGTGGGATCTACTTAGTAAGGGCAATATGATAAGCTCAAATGCTGAGCACTGTCACATTAATTTTAAAAGTAAAGGGCCTTTAAAAAAATGCATTCTGTTGAGTGAATGGGATGTTGCATTCCCAACATTTCTCGTCCTGCACTCCTTTAACAGAGGAAATGGAGCGTTCACCAGACATGGACGTGATTTTCCATCACATTCGACTGTAAAAGTATAGATGGTGTTTCGGAAAGAGGGAGGGGAGGGCTAAGATCAACTGCACTCTAGGCCCTGTTTATCTCATTTAAGCAAATACGAATTGTGGGTGCCAGTGGTGACTTCCTACTTTATGAGTAATTGCTTAGAAGTCATTTGCCTACCAGCTGTGACCTAGATTTCAATTTCCAAATGTGAGGATGAGGATGGGGTATGGTTGGAGGAACTCTATAATGTTAAAAAATGTTTGTTTTTTAATCGCTGGTAAAATTAATGGCAAATGCACTTGTCTCACTTTTTCAGGTGCCTGGACTAATATGTTAAGGATATCTTGCTTAAAATATGAAAAAATATTGGGATAAAATGTTCCAGCAAATCAAATTTGGACAAAAGCTCAGGATAGTTATTGTGTATAAGCTTTTTGGTTCTTTTAACAACGGAAAGAGCAGAGAGCCAATAGAAATAATAAAACATCAATACTGTGCTTGAGAATAATCTCTTCTCAAAGACAGTTGTGAATGTGTTATCCAGCTTATGTCATGACTTAGTACAATATTGAAGAACAATTATCCTATTTCCAAGTGCCCATGAAGGCTGTTTCTAAAAAGCAAAGCTTATCTGTCTGCTGACTCTGATAAGCCTGGTTAATCTATTAAATTGAGCATCAAAGTTAAAAACACAAAGTAAGATCTTTTTTCTGCCTTGCTCACTCTCTTTCCCTTTTGCATGTCTTTCTTCTGTAGGAGCTGCCACTCCAAAGCCAGCCCCAGAGCCTGAGAAACAAACAGACCACACAGTGAAGATTGCCGGAGTCATTGCTGGCATCTTGCTCTTTGTTATTATATTTCTTGGAGTTGTGTTGGTAATGAAGAAAAGGTGAGTCTTGCTCTTACCAAAGATCATATTGCACCTTAGTGTTTACCAAGTTGCCAGACGTGTATGAAAAGTCAGTTAATGAACTGACTTTTGTGGCCATAACATATCTGTGACTGTAATTCATGTTTTTTACCTTATAGCAGCATTCAAGGTTAGAGGCCCAAGTTTACAGTAAATGGCTTTGGTTTTTATGAATTTGCAAACCATAACATCTTATGTAGCATAAGCTAAGCAGAGGTAGAGCTTGTTCCTTTTGCCTATAGTTCTAAAGGAATTGTAGCTCTGGTAGTGTAGTGCTTATGGATTGTGATACTGGCTGCAGTTCAGAACCACCAGCCACTCCATGGGAACAAGAAGGGGCTTCAGAGTTATAGTCTCAGAACCTCAGAGGGGCAGTTCTACCCTCTCCTATAGGGTTGTTATGAGTAGGCTTCCACCTTGATGGCGGTGAGTTGAGTTTTATGAGTCATGGCGTCAGAGTAAGGTAGAAGATTCAGGCGGAGAGGTTGACAAAGTGAGGCCTTGAACTGCTGGTATAAGGACACTGGCCTTGGTACTGAACTCCACTGATGGCCCTAGCAGGTAGTAAAATGATGTCGCTGTTTTTTAACAGAAATCAGAAAAATCTCTCTTAAAATATCACTGACCACAAAAAAGAGGAGCTTGAGCTTATTAGGGATCCAAATGGATGGAAAAAAGAGGGAAACTTTAGAAAATTTAAAAATCAAAACCAAATTCACTGCCATCAAGTTGATTCCAACTCATAACCACCTTATAGACTAGAGGGTTTCTGAGGCCATTAGGAATGTTTAGGGGGTATGTTGTAGTAGCCATTAGGAAGTGGGAGCTGGGAGGAAAGGAACGATATAGAAAGAACCATGTTTCTAGTGTTGACAGCTTAGTGAATCTATTACTATTCAAGAAACAGTGGAACACAGAAAGTAGACCACATTTGGGGTGTGAAGATGGAGAAATCAGCTTTGTACGTGTTAAGTTCATTATTCCTATAAAATATGTAATTAGAGATGTACACTAGGCAGCTGGATATGTGAGACAGACCAAGAATAACAATTTCTGTAGTCAGCAAGTCATCAGCATGCATAGAGTTAAAGCCACTCAAAGTTATTGTGGAAGGAAAAGATGAAGTTGAAATCGTGGGTAACAGTAATATATACGTCTTTTCCTGCCTTTCCTCCACTTTTATGTTTACTGGTGGAGCTGGGCCCCAGGACAAACTGGAGCTCCACCCCGCTGTACATTTGACTATTGCCCCAGGGCCTCATGGTTTCCTCTTATCTGTCCCACTTGTCTGACTCTTATTTTTTCTTTCCCATCCCCTCCCTGGACCTCCTTTTTCTTTACCTGGTCTTCGCCGTCATCACCTTTAGCTGCTGATCTCTTTATAGAGTTCTGTTTCTATATCATTTTTCTTTATTTTTCTTATTCTTTTTCCCTCACTCCTCCACATTTATATTCTTTATCTGACCCATTCTCTGCCCCCTCCCTTGAGGTACTTTCTCTTTAAAGGAGTTTGCACACTTTTTCTTGTGTGTGTGTGTGTTGGGGGGTGTTTACCATAATGCAATATAAACTCTAAGCCACAGTAAGTCATGCTATCCATGAATATTCAAAGAACTACTCAAAGAGATTTGTTTTAAATTGTAGGAATATGTTGGATTTTTGTGTCATCTGACAAATGGTCTTTTAGGAATAGCCTGAAACTACTATTCTAATTGCCTTTGTGACCTTAGACATATCTGAACTAATCTTCCAAGTTCTACTTCTGCTGTATTAATTCATTATTCTCCCCCAACCTCTCAGGTAATCACTGAGGTGATTTTATAAATTATGTATTTGAAGACATTGCCTATAGTAACATATGGCCTTGCTACAACTTTAGTCCAAATACCAATAAATCTTATCATGTTTGTATGATCATTTATTAAATAATAATTTTAGAATAGTTGTTTTACATCATATGCCACTTTTGTATTTGCTTTATTTGAGATATAAAATATGCTTTCTACAAAACAAATATACTATGCCTATAAAAATAAAATGTGATATAAAATTTAGACTTAACCATATGGCACAAACTGTCAGGTTTAAAACAAATTCTTAATACATCACATTTTTACAGATTTCCCCAAAAAATTTAAGGCTGGAATTTAAATTGCTTAATTAAAACATGATACTATTAATCATGGATAAGTTGCTTGAATGTTATTGCAACAAATAACCTTGGTTAGAATAGCCTTGAATTTAGACTTAGAATTCCCAGATCTGTAGTCTAACTAACATTGTGATGCTGAACTTCTCTGGGCCCTAATTTCTTCATTGTAAATAGAGAAAATTGAACTAGGCAATCTCTGAAGTCCCTCTTAAGAGCCCAGATGGCAGGTTTTCTTTATTTGGCAGCCTATGGTTACACTGCTAATTTAAACTTTTATTTAAAAATAACATTTGCTTTTCTAGAAATGCTAGGGGGTTGATTATCTCAATTTAAAAGTGAAGAAATTGGGCCCCAAAGAAGTACAGAATCACAATGTTAGTTAATATGCAAATCTAGAAATTCTAAATCTAAGTTCAAGCCTATTTTAAAAACTGTTACTTTTTAGAATAACACTTAAGCCATTTATCCATGATTAATAATATCATCTTTTAACTATGCTGTTTGAATATACTACATTTATTCATCCCATTGGCTAAATTAATGACACTATCAATAGAATTTCTTTCTGCTCCAGGGAGATAATAGATAATATTCTGTAACATGAAATGATAGTGATGTCTCTAAAGTGAACCAGAGACATATGAATGTATTTTAGACTCACACTTACTCTAAGAACAGTTAGTTCTTATGACATGGACCTGACTGATGCTCACCCTCAAAAAGAGACCACTAAAGATATCCGTGCTACAGCAGATTAAGCCATTATCAGAAAAAATAGCACCTGGGATCTTCAAGATTGTCTTCAAACAAGCAGTCATCCAAGTAAGGCATCGAACAACATGTGTGTTCCAAGGATTGTAAATAAGAAAATGCAAATGTGAAAGGGGGAATGGAATCAGAGCTTAAATTAGGAAGACCTGCTTTGCAGAACACTATGGATAACAGTGGAAGCCCAATCTCCACCGATGGATTAAGCCTCAGTGAAATCCTTCTTAACAAAGTCCAAGGAGAAGAGCCTTGCTACCAGACAGAGACATTGTAAAGTTGATAATGGCAGGTGCAGCTAGGCATCTTATCATCGTTGTCTTATCATTAGATCTCTCTTTTGACGCATTTTTAAAGTTGTTTCACTTCCCAAAAAAAAAAAACAGGGAGAAAGACACGTGGATCGAGCCTCGGTTGAATTTCCTCAGCCAATATACCAGGAATATAAGGACCGTAGGTAGGATGTGGAGTGCCTTAGAAAGTGAATCATTTAAGAGGAAGTTAGGTTAAAATTTAACACCTTATCATAGGATTTCCCATTTGAATCATTTAAAAATTTTCCAGTTTTTTTTTTTAGGTTATACAGTTATTCACTTGTTTGTTTATTTATTACCTTCTTTTTTTTAATCATTTTATTAGGGGCTCATACAACTCTTATCACAATCCATACATACATCAATTGTGTAAAGACCATTTGTACATTCATTGCCCTCATCATTCTCAAAACATTTGCTCTCCTCTTAAGCCCATGGCATCAGATCCTCATCGCCCTCCCTCCTCACTCGCCCCTCCCTCCTGTACCCTAGATAATTTATAAATTATTGTTTTGTCATATCTTTTTTTTAAATCATTTTATTAGGGGCTCATACAACTCTTATCACAATCCATACATACATCAATTCTGTAAAACGTATTTGTACATTCATTGCCCTCATCATTCTCAAAACATTTCCTCTCCACTTAAGTCCCCGGCATTAGGTCCTCATTTTTCCCCTCCCTCCCCACTCCCCTCTCCCTCATGAGCCCTTGATAATTTAAAAATTGTTATTT